GGATTCAGAATTATAAAACTTTTTGCTCAAATAAATAATCAGAGTTATAATCTTCCGGAAGAGCATTAAAAATAAAACCTAAAAGGTTTTCTGATGCAGCAATCGATGTATATGTTTAGAATGTGTTTATTGAATTTTCTACCTTTAAAAGAATCATTTGGTTTGTCGAGGTTGCAGCGATCGCTTTTCATTTTGAAGAATCGAAGAAAAAAAATCACTTACTAAATATTATTATTATCATGATCCTAATCATGATGAATTGACTATATCATGATTTTCGAAACTTTTTTGGGTGGCGATTTTACCCCGATCTTTACATGCCCATCATTATTTTCTTTTTTCATAGTTAAGGAAATCTCTGACTTCATCAGCTAAGGCTGTGGTGTAACTTGCGTACTCAAGTAATGGACTTGAATAGTTTGGAGAAAATACATATATAGTGTACTGTAGGAGATAATTTAGTACTGTATTTTATAAAATTTTGAAATAATACAATATAGTACGAAGATAAAGGTAATTTCGTACTGGATTTATAGAATTTTAAAGTAAAGATCAATACATACAAACGGAAGAATAACTTTAAGAAATTTATTAGAATATGATAAGTCTGGTTTGTTTCATAGAATTGGCACTATAATTCTACATTCTCGAAAGACATGAAAATAAACTTTTATAATCAGTTTGAAATTTATTAAAAGTTTAAAAAGCATTTAATACATAACAACTAACCAAAAGATAATAGTTCTGGCTAACTAACAAGCTCTAGTCGAATAAATTGATACTTTACAAAATAAGTATCAAAATTTTACTTCATCACAAAATACATATCGAGTAATAAGCAAAGTAATTTTATAAATAAAATAAAAAATGAAAAAAATATACTAATAAATTCTTATCATTATTGTAATTCTGAAAAATATGGCGGGGTTAGAAGATTTTGATTAAATAAAGTGCAAAGATTCCATTTTGCATCTTTATTAATTGATGGATGGTCAGCCAATATGTTAACTGCGACTTGTTCTTCTTCACTTTGTACACGTTCATCATTGTAGTCCATTTTGATACCACTTCGTTCCATTCCTTTTCACCCATAGCATTAGTATTTCTTTCTTGTTCTGAGGTCTGAATTTCTTCATTTTCAGAATCACTATCAATTATTGTATATTCTTGATTAGTTTGTGTAAGATCTGCTGATATTTCAGAATTATCAGACTCTGGAAGCAATATTAGAATATTTTCTTGATATTTTTTAATTGAATTTTCAATAGCTTTTAAATTGTTACGATGATTCATTGCAGCACGTAATTGACTCATTTGTAATACTTTCTTAGGCTTTAAATATAAATATATAAATTAGTAAATTTAAAGCTTATATAAATAGGCTTGGAGCTAAGAAAAGAGACGAAATTGACAAAAAAAATAAATCTTCGGAAAATCATAAGAAAATGCAAACTTTAAAGAGCTATACTACAAAATTTTAATACAATCACTTTTGTAACTTAAGTGAAAAATGAATCTAATCTTATTCTAAATTGATTTATATAAAAAAAATCCTTTAAAAAAATTGTCAATTTCGTCCCTTTTCTCAGCACCTAGCCTAAATTATAATTTTAATATAAAATAAAACATACCTTTAACCGATTGCGATATTTATTATGAAACCAACCCATGCATGAAAAAGTCTTTCAACACATGCAGAATTTACACAAACTGAAAAAATTCGACATGCAACTTGACTCAATTCTTTTGCTGCGTCAGAGCAAAACTCCCAATATCCTAAAATATCATTTGAAAATTGACTGGCAGTATGTGGAGTAAATGGTTTTTGTTGTTTACGAAATTTCTCAAGTTCAGGAAATAATGATTTCGGTTCAGTTTGAAACCATGCATTGTAATACCAACAAATCCAATCACTAAGCTGTGTATATAACCCTTGATTGTTACTATCAAATATTTCTATGCGATATTCGGGATGAAGAAGAAAAGCAAGCAAAAGTAGTGGCTGTTCCCAAGATTTCCAACGTACTTCTAAACGATTAATCATCTTAGTTGCAAATTCTTGATCAGAATATGATTTATAAAACTTGATAAAATATGCAATCCCATGGAGAACCTCATGTAAGCGAGCTTTATCTTGTTGCAATTTATTCAAAATTGCACAATATGGTAATAAAATATTTGTAAGATTATTAATTGTAATCCACCATTGCTCATTATTAATAGTTTCACAAATTTTTTTAGGTAATAATAATGCAGTTCGCATATTATTAGTTGAAGAAAATTCAAATTTAGCTACAAGAGTCTAAATTTATTATTAATATCAATCTTATAAATATGCATTTAATTTTAATGTTAAATATAATAAAGCAAAAACTTGATAGCCAAAAGGTTTGTCTAATTTTACCAATACTTATTTTGTAAATATAGCATTTCATTAATAAACCATTTATTAATATATTTATTTTACTGATATCTAATTTACTCAATTTATTAATAATCAATTCACTGACAATCAATTCACCAACACTTAATTCAATTCACTAACAATCAATTTATTAATACTCAATTCACTAACATTCAATTCATAGATTCTTAATTTACTAATAATTAATTTACTAATAATCAATTTACCGACACTCAATTCACTAATACTCAATTTACTAATAATCAATTTACCAATACTCTATTTACTAACAAGCTTAATTTACTAATCTTAAATATAATTATAGTTATCAGTGAATTAATTGTCAGTGAATTGAATATCAGTAAATTAATTATTAGTAATTTGAATATCAGTAAATAAATATTAGTAAATTGAGTATCTGTGATAGCTAATAAATTAAGTATTAGTAAATTGATTATTAGTAAATTGAGATTATTAATGAATTGATAAATTAAGTATTGGTAAATAAAGTTTGTTAGTGAATTAGCTTGTTAGTAAATTAAACTCAGTAAATTAAGTATTAGTAAAATAAACATATTAATAAATTAATTGTTGGTGAATTGATAATTTATGAATACTATATTTACAAAATAAATATTGATAAAATGAGCAAAACCAATAGCCAAATACTTAATCAAATTATAGTTAGACCTCTCTAAGTGCACGCCCTTGGGACCACACTTTAATGATGTGTATTTAGAGAATAATAAGAAAAAGTGCATTTATAGAGGTCAAGTATATATTTGCGCCAGAATTTAAGTGTGCATTTAGAGAGAGTATATACTTATAGAGGGTGCACTTAAAGAGGTCTGATTGTAGATATTAAAAACTATAAATTAAATCAGTTATATA